CCCCCTCCGCGCGCGCCCCGGCCTTTCACTCTGGCCTCGCGCGCCCCGGCTCGAGTCCCCGCGCGTCTTCTGTGGCTCGCCCTCCCCTCCCTCACGCCCCGTTTCCCCGCCATCCCTGCTTTCACTCCCTGCCTCTGCCCGCCATGCTCCCCTCCTTTGCTTTCCTGCGCGCCCCCTTTAACTCTCCGCCCCCAGGGGTGTCCTCGGGGTGCGGGGGCCGCTCCCTGCGCTCGGTTTTGCGCGAGACAGTGGACTGGACAAATGGGGGTCGGGTCCGCACGGGGGAAGCAAACACAGAATCGTTATTTTGATTGAGGTGAAGGAATTAGGAGCGCGGAACCTGACCCCTTTATTTCGTGGCCCACTGTTCTTTCGCCCTCCCGTAGGAGAAGGCAGTTGCTCCAGCCTGTATCTGTATGAGTGCTTACCTTGGGTAGTGACCAAAGCACCTCTTCTCAGCCGGGTTCTGGGACTCACGGCGTCTGTTTCCCAGTTCAGTGCCTGAGGCTTGATGGGGCTGGAACTTATACTTCGCAACCAAACCGAGATTTAAAGTACTTTTTGCATCCCTGCTCTCAGTTATACTAAGGAGCTAACTACTACTGCGAGTGCCATTAGATGCCCTTTGCGGCCCGGGTAGTTTTCCCCGTTGGTAAAGGTATTGTAGCCTCTTTGGGTTCTTCCCTAACATCGCCATTCCGCCAAACACGAGGTTAGACTTTGGGGTTGGCACTGAGGTGGCGATGGAGACCTTAGTGGTGGGTGGCCTGTGGATGCTGAGCTGTATTTTCTACTGTTCTCTGGAAAATCAAGTAGTCTTCTGCGAAGCAGTTTTCTCGTATGATAAATGAGTGTTTGGAGGGCTTTTGTGTGTATGAAGAGTTGCGGATAGTTGACGTAGTGTTTCAGCAAAGGAGAAGAGCAATGTTTGCAGAGCAGACTGCAGAAGGGAAATTTACTGGTAGTTGATGGTGTAAAAGTGGGTTTACAGATCTGTGTTGGCAAGAGCTGATGCAGTTGTACTTGAAATGGCAATGCACGTATATTGTGTAAAGTGAAAAAAAAATCGTCCCTCCCACCTGTGTCTTCCAACCATCCAGTCCCTGCCCTAGCATACATGACAGTGCTGTTTTCTGCACAGCATGATCTATATGTCGTTGGAAATTAACATGTAGAAGTTAGTGTTAACTTACTGTTCTTTCTTTGATACATACTTTAAGTCTTTTTTTTTTTTGGTGGAACCGGAGATTGAACTCAGGCCTTTGTACTTGTCAGGCAAGCGCTTTTTCTACTGAACCATCTCCCCAGCCTCTTTCTTAGTCTTATAACCACTTGGATTCATAGTTTTCGTGCTGGGACAATTTTAATAGAGTGTTGTGAGTAAAGTATTGCTATAAAGTAGCATTTCTGTTGGTACTTGATTGGGAAGAAGGCTATTTCTGGAGGTGCTAAAGGAGGTCCTGTGGAGGGGGTTAGTATATTCTTAAGGAAGCACCACTCCTGTTGGAAATGGTGTTTTTTTTTTTTTTTTTTTTGTGGTTGGGTGTTTTGGTATAGGTTGGATCAGGGACAGGCTTTCCTTTGGGCTTTTTTTCTTTTTCTTTTCTTTCTTTTTTTTTTTTGGTCTTTGAGACTGGGTTTCACTGTGTGGTTCAGGCTGGCCTTGAACTCAAAGTGATCCTCCTGCCTCAGCCTCTGGAGTGCTGGGTTACAGGCATCCTATTATTAGTTTTTAGAGGAATGTGGTTTTTTAGTTTAGAGGCAGTGATAGTCATCAGGGCATGAGGTAGATAAGTATTTTTTTGTTTGTTTGAAACAAGATCTTTCTGAATATTCCAGGCTGGCCTTGAGCATTTCTATGTAGCCCAGGCTAGCCTCCAATTTATGGTGATCATCCTGCCTCAGCTGAGTGCTGGGAGTATTAATTAGAAATCAGAAAGCTAGATCAAAAGATCCCTTTTGAGAAGAGGGTAAGTTTGTAGACTTTTGCCCTCTTGCTCCTTAGTTGAGAGCATTCTTGATGAGATGAGTGATTTGTAGTTGACAGCAGCATCCATCTTTAGAACACAGTGTTTTGGCTCCTTAGCCATGTGTGATGTTTGTTAACTTCCTGTTTAGAGATAATCAAAGGGTCTTAGTAGAGGCCTAATTCAAATACTTGTCTAGAAGCAGTGTAACCAGGTTCTTTGATAAGCTGTTCAAATCTGAGTTCTGGTAGTAATTTCTGCTGTGTATAAGCCTACAGGATGGTGGGAGAGGTGTGAGGCATTTGTTCTAAATCTTAGAGCCCTATAATATTTTCAAAAGTTGTATATTGTCCCGCCTAATTTTGGGGGGAGTTCTCTTTCCTTTTTCTGATTCCACTTTGGCTAAAGTGGACCAGTTGATCAGGTTTTAGCTTGACAGCAGCAGGATGGAAGAGGTGTCAGTTTGTCAAAGATACATGCTAAAACCATTGGGTTCATTCCAGCTTTTAGCAGTTAGGCTTGTGTGTTATATGTAAAGCAAACCTCTTGTTTTAATTTGTAGATACCTCCCCCCTCAAAAAAAAAAAAAAAAAAAAAAAAGGCTGGAAGTGCATTTGTAGGGAAATAGCAGCAGTGTTGTCCTGGGTTATCGACTGGAGCATGTTCCATGTTAGCCAGTCCATTGAGAGTCACACTGACAAGCAGCCCCTTGGCATTTAGCTCTGATGGCTCATGTTGCTTGGCTCATTGAGAAAAGCCAAGCAGCTCTGGTTGATTAAAACAACTGCTAGAGAAATCATAAGATTTGAGCCATCACTGGGGACTGAGGGACTTTCTTTTTCAGACTTTTGTAGTATTTGAATCCCTGTATCATTTCACAGTACAATAACCTGACATTTTCTGAGATAGTTTGGAGGAAAGAAAAATAAATAAAAAGACACACTAAGATTGACTGTAAATCTAATCCTGTCATAAGGCTGTCTACCTCTTGATGGGGGCGGGGGGTGGGGAGAATCCAACCTATCAGACAATGCCACACAAAGTTGCAGTTCCCCTTCTGCTGGCTAAGCCTGGAAAAGATACATAAGGAAGTTATGTTTCTCTTGAAAAGGACTGGTTCTTGGGGAAGAAAGCGTCTGTTAGCCTGTCGTATGGTTTATTCTTAGTGACCTGTGAAACTTTTTTTTTTTTTTTTAATTTAAGGGCCGCGGAGATAGCTCAGTAGAATAAGCACAAAGGCCTGAGTTCAATCCCTGGTTCTGAGGAAAAAAAAAAAAATTAAGACAAGATCTCTCTAGTAACTCAGGAAGCTTGCCTTGAACTTGCTATGTAGCCCAAGCTGGCCTAAAACTTTTTCTTTTTTTAAAAAATTTTTATTTGTGTGTGTGTGTGTGGCCAGCTCAGCCCACCAGGGGGCGGGGCTGGCTGCCATGTGGTGCTGGGGGATTGAACTGCGGTCCCTGTGCTTTGCTAAGCTTGTTCTAAGTAGGTGCTTTAGACCACTGAGCCATCTCACCAGCCCAAGGCCTAAAACTTTTGATTCTCCTGCCTCAGCCTTCCAGGTGTCCTCTATTTACAGGTGTGTGCCACTAAGTTTGGTTGTATTGAAGCTTTTCTGTAAGTATGGCTTAAGGAGTGTGGTTGCTGTGGAAGCAGTAAAACAGGGACATTCTGTTTGTGTAATAGTGATGAAAGCCTCTGAAGAATAGGTTGAATCTTTCATTTAGTTGTTTTGGTACTGGGGATTTAACCAAGGGCCATTGCTCTAAAGTACAATCACATTTATTTATTTATTTATTTATTTATTTATTTATTTTGAGACAGGCCTCACTATGTAGGTCAGGCTGGCCTTGAACTCACTGTATACAGTTCATTGTGCTCCTGCTTCAGCTTCCCAAGTGCTGGGAAAAGAGGTATGTGCTACTATGCCCAACTAGATCTAATCTTTCATAATTTTCTTTTTCTTTTTTTTTTTTTTTTGGTACAGGGTCTCACTGTGCAGAAAAGACTCATAGTGATCCTTCTGTATTCAACCTCCCCAGCAGCTGGGATTACAGGCGTGTGTCACCACGCCCAGACTCCATCACTGGCTCAGTGCCCCTGGGGGCAGGGCCAGCTCAGCATGTGGTACTAGGGATTGAACCCTAGTCCCTGTGTTTGCCTAAGCAGGTGCTTAGTCCGCTGAGCTGTCTCGCTGGTCCTTAGATCTAATCTTTCTAATCCAGTAGGTTAACCCCTTTTGATGTTCCATCTTCACTTTCTTTTGTTGGAGGAACCAGGGATTGAACTCAGGCCTTTGTGCTTTCTAGGCGAGCGCTTATTCCACTGAGCCATCTCTCTGGCCCCTATATGCTGTATTTCTATACAGTTGCTCAAGTAGAGGAAGGCCCGTGGTCATCAATCTGAGATGAGTAGGTAGTGGCTAACTAATGTTTAGTGTCTTCCTCAGAATTTCCTAATCTTTAGCCTTAAATTGTGGTGGACTGACAAGATGTTTTGAAGGGTTTGGGCTATAATAGTACCAAAAGCAAAAGATGAATAACAACATTTATGTATATATTTGATATAGGGTCTCACTGCACAGCTGGACTTGTAGTGATCTCCTGTTTCAACCTCCTCAGCACTGGGATTACAGGTGTGCACCACCATACCTGGTCTCAGTGGCTGGTTCAGCACGCCTGGGGGCGAACCCCATCCCTGTGCTTGCCTAAGCAGGTGCTTGCTGAGCTGTCTCACTGGCCCAGTAACATATTTGAGGTACGAAATATTCAGGCCCCAGA